AGGCTCTGTTGTGCTTTCAATGTGAAATGCTCACCACAAGCTCATGTGATGGAATGGCTGGCTCCCAGCTGCTGCTGCTGGTCACACAGGGGTGGCATGGATCCTTGAGAAGTGCAACCTCAGTGGAAGACGTCGTCACTGGGGGTGAGCCAGGAGATGTATAGCCCAGCCCTACTTCCTGTCCCTTTCTCCTCTGCTTCTAGGTCCTCTATGATGTGAGCAGGCAGCCTTACGCTCCTGCAGCCACAGTCGCAGGCTAATTCCACTACTTAGGAGCAAGCAGCCTGTCTCCAGGCCTTCCTTCTCTGTCTTGATTGACAGCATCCCCTCAAACAGCAGCAAACCCCAGGAAGTCCTTTGTCATGGTGCTGCCTGTCAGGCATCTGGTCACAGGGACAAGAAGGTAACCAGTACAGTCTAACCAAATCTCTGCAAAAGAAATCCCATGTGTTCCCACCTGCTCCTTCTGAAACCACATTTTTAACAGGTGCCCTCCCAGTGAGGACAGCACTGGGATAGTCTTCCCCAGTGGCAAAGGGAAGGGGCATAGAGAGACAACTGAGGCACCCCAGCCAGTGGAGGTGTTGGGCCTGTCCCTGGGCTGCTGTCTGCTCCCAGGTGACCAGGATGTGGTTGGTGGTGAAGAAGACATTTCCTTCCCTCAAGATGATGAGTGACAGGCAAGGAGCAGACCTTTAGAGGATGACACTATTGGTGCTGTGATGAAGATAAGTCCATCAAGGGCCCAATGAGGGACACGTGACCTGGTCTTTGGTGAAAAGCAGTCAGGGAAAGCTTTGTGGAGAAGATGACATTTAATGTGAGTTCCCAAGAGATGAGGCAAGGGAAGAGAGGACTCTGCAAAGGCTGAGGTGAGAGACAGGGTTTTCAGGAGTGACTTGTAAGGTAGTGTGGTGGGGTGAGAAGGAACCAGATCTCTTAGGAAGCCCAGCCATTGAGACCTGAACTTGTACCCAAGCACCATCAGGATCCCTGGCTACCAGGAAAGCTGGCACAACTCTGCTTCTTTCCCACCTCAGAAGCCTCAGACAACACGGAGTTTGCCAAGCAGCTGCCTTCCTGCACTAGTACTCAATGGTCAAATCCCAAATTGGACACAGGGTTGATTTGGAGGCCCTTTGGCTAAATTCCTAGTGTGTGCCCGGGAGGAAAGGGAGTACCTTGCCTCAGGTCATGCAGTTTAGTGGTACATTCAAGGCTAGAGCTCAGATTGTCAGCCCTCAAATATGGTTATGGCTTTACCTCTGTTTCTTTCCATCACGGATCATGAATTCCAAATTCCCACCATAAAGGCAGGGAGGTTCCAGGGATGTCTGTGCTTCTGTGTGGGGATGTACAGACTCCTGTACCAGTGAATAAGGTGGGAAGGAGTGGAAAAGAGCATTGATAAGAAGGGCAAGCAGCTAGAGCAATCTTACCCATTTAAAGAAAAAAATGCATATGGGGCAGCAAGATGGTTCAGTGGGTAAGGGTGCTTGCCACCAAGCCTGATGACCTGAGTGGGCTCTGTGGGACCCACATGGTGGAAGAGAAGAACTAACTTTAGCATGTTGCCCTCTGACCTCCATAAGCATGCATGTATACACACACACACACACACACACACACACACACACACAATTTTTTAAAAAAGCAATTGATCCAGCACTGAGAGGGTAGAGGCAGGCAGGTCTCTGTGAGTTCAAGGCCAGCCTGGTCTACATAGCGAACCCCATGACAACTAAGGCTATATAGAAAGATACTGTTTCAAAAACAAAACAAATAAAAAAAAAAAGCCGTAAAGAAAAACATCCTTTCAATTCAATTAAATCACTTTAAGGGAATAAAAATGCTTCCAGCATTATCCTATTGAAAAATATTTATGGGCTGGAGAGATGGCTCAGAGGTGAAGAGCATTGGCTGCTCTTCCAGAGGTCCTGAGTTCAATTCCCAGCAACCACATGGTGGCTCACAACCATCTGTATTGAGATCTGGTGCCCTCTTCTGGCCTGCAGTCATACATGCTGTATACATAATAAATAAATAAATCTTAAAAAAAAAAAAAGGAAAATATTTATGACATGCTAAAAAAGTCTAGCATGTGCAGGCACACACACCATTCATTCTGTACAAATGGTTTATCTAGCAAAATAACCAGGGGACAGAAGAGAGATCTGAGAACTTGAGTCTTCAACTGCCAAGTGGATCAAAGACACAGGATGCCGAGAAAGCAGTGCATGCGACTAAATTTAGTCTTCTCCCATACCGCTTCCCCCACTGCCAAGGTCTGCGGACTGCTGCCTGGACACTGCCTGGGTAAGCGATCTCCATAGAGCCCCCATCTCTCAGAAAGCCTCTGGCTCCCCTCTCTTAGGCTCGGGCTGATATGGATCATGAGAGGTGGTATTTCTGCTTGTGTTCCTAAAGCTCTGCCAGCTGCCAGGGACTGGAAAAGCTATAGACGTTTCCAGACCCTAAGAAGTTATAGAGAGAATCAAGGACATTTTCCTTGAATCCAAAAAAAGAAAAAAGACCTGGAGGCAGATGAAGGCAGATTGGCACACACCCTCTGACTGGTTAAATGCACAGGCTGAGTGTTCTGAAACACCAGGCTTCTGTCTCCCCACCAGCCTGCATCTACTCATTGCATTGCATGAACGGTGATGGATAACCTCCGCGGTAATGGATAACCTCCGCTGTCAGCTTGACTGAATTTGGATCACTGTGAAATACACCTCTAGGTGTGTTCACAGGGGTGTACCCAGAAAGGTTTAACTGAGGAAGGAAGACGAACCCTGAATATTGGTAACACTGTGCTGTGCCAGGGGCAGGGATAATACACTGAATAAAAGAAAGAGAAAGTCAGCCAAGCAACGACTTTCACCTCTCTGCTTCTAGACTGTAGATACAATGTAACTATGATTCTGCCACCATGGTGGACTGTACCCTTGAACTATGAGTCAAAATAACGCCTTCCTTAAAGTACTTTTACACATCAACGAGAAGTCAGGAATACAAGGGCTAAAGTATCATAGCATTCTCCTCCCATCTGAAAACATTCTTCCAAGCCCCACACAGCACCACAGCCCAATAGGACAATGGCGAGGAGCCAGAGGAAGGAGGTGGGGACTGCCTGTCAGCACAGTGGCAGCCTTGGTGGTGGTGGCGTGGCGGCTGACTGGACCTCCTACACCTCCACTCCAAAGTCCTAGTGCAGTTCACATATCAGGCGAGGTATATGTCTATGATGAGCCTGCCCTGCCTTTCAAAGGAGACCTAAACGTTTCAAGGACTGGCTTTTGTCACCTAGCCAACCTGTCACACCTATCTTCTGGTGCCTTGGCACAAGCTGCTGGCTAAATTTAAACTCTCAAGAGTCGTTTCTAACTTGACGTTTCTCTCACTCAAAGGAGGAGCAGGTCGGCTTCTTTGGTGACAATAACACAGCCCACCCAGACAGTGCAGACAGATGGAGCCCATCAGGGGAGTCAGAAGTGGCTCACAGCTTCTGCGCCTCCAGCAAAGTCCCCCACTCCACACCCTGCGCACACAGATGTGCCACCACATTCCTTAGTGACCTGATTCCTCTGTTTCTGTAACAGCTTACAGAAGGGAGTGTGTAAGCTGACACTCTGTAGGCTCTCCATCTCTGCTTTCTGAGACAGGAGAGGAAATCATCATTGGAGACCAGGGGTTCTGATCCCAACTCCACCGCCAACTGCACACACATAATTTAGCGTCTTTGAACAGTGCCCCCCCCCACTTTAAATTGAGCTGTGATGGGGGTACAGTACCTTGCTCACATTGTGTGTGTATTACACAGGCCATGCTGGCTAGTTTTATGTCAACTTGATACAAACTAGAGTTATCTGAAAGGAGGGAACCTCAATTAAGAACATGCCTCCATAAGATCGAGTCGTAGGGCATTTTCTTAGTGACTGATGGGGGAGGGCCAAGCCCATTGCGGGTGGTACCACACCCCGGCTGGCGGTCCTGGGTTCTGAGCAAACCATGGGAACAAGCCAGTAAGCAGCACTCCTCCACAGCCTCTGCATCAGCTCCTGCCTCCAGGCTCCTGCCCTGCTAGAGTTCCTGCCCTGACTTCCTTTGATGATAAACTGTAATGTGGAAGTGTAAGCTAAAAAAACCCTTTCCTCCTCCACTTGCTTGTGATTTTGGTGTTTCCTCACAGCCACAGAAACCCTAACTAAGGCACAGGCGTTAGCTGCTGCAGCCAGGATCACCAGAATGGCTGCTATTGGTATCAATGTTGCCACAGTTTCTCAACTTCAGGCTCCACTTAATTCTTTTGTTTGTTTGTTTGTTTGTTTGCTTTTTGGTGGGGGCGGTTCTTTTGAGACAGGGTTTCTCTGTGTAGCTTTGCGCCTTTCCTGGAACTCACTCTGTAGACAAGGCTGGCCTCGAACTCACAGAGACCCGCCTGCCTCTGCCTCTGGAGTGCTGGGATCAAAGGCGTGTGCCACCACTGCCCGGCTCCATTTAATTCTTAACATGAACACAAAAGGTTATATTGACTCTGCGAGAGTTTGGCAGGATCAAAGAATGGTCAGGACTCAGCACAACTGCTCTGGACTGCATGAGATGACCGACCTGGAGTCACAGGGTGGTTATCCCTCAGACTTTGGTGTTTAAAGTGTTAAGATAGACAGCGGGATAGGGTGTTTCACTGAACCTGGAGCTCACAGATTCAGCTGGACTTGCTGACCAGGATACCCCAGGACCCCCCTCCTGGCTCTGATTCCCTAGTGCTGGGGTTACAGGTACGTATGCTGGGCCTGGCTTTTTTATATGGGAGCTGGAGATCTGAACTGGGTCCTTGTATTTGTGCATTTAACCACCTCCCACGCCTCGAGCCTTTGCCTTTAAGTGTGCCGCCTTGGGTTCAAAGTCTTCCATCGAATGAAGCATTAGGGAAAAGGGAGGCAAGAGGAAACCCACCTTACGGGAACTTACGGGGACAGCCAGGCTGAGCCTTTTCTTGGAAGGAAGCACTGTGAGAAGGAGCAGTGACCTGGCCGGAAGGGACATCAGATTGGTGGCATCAGAGCCTCTAGCTCTGTGCTTCACTGGCACTAGGTGGCCCTTCCCTACATGCAAGCATGACTCCAGTCTGTCCAGAGTCCATGTCTGTACACTGCCAGGCTCCTGGGGGTGTGGCTAGCTCCACAACCCTGTATACTTAAGGCAGCAGGAAAGTGGAAGCCAGAGAAGGTACGGCTTACACTACGACCCCCAGCTCTAAAACTCAGGGTTCTTCCCAGGCCAGCTCAACTTGGGCAGGCTCTCCTTTTGGCTCTTCAGATCTGTCTGGGAATACGCAAAAGAAACAGCAAGCCTCCTGCCTGAATATGGAGGGGACTTAGGTCAGTGGAGTAGCAACTATCATTGGAACTTGGGGATTCTGGGTAAGCCTCTGTAAGGCCTCTGGAGTGTAAGGAGCCCCAGAAATTGAGCCCAATTTCTCAGGGGGTCTCAGGGTTCACCAACAAGCAAGGGCTGGGGATTCTTTTCTATAACCCCAACTTCCCATGAGTCCTCTGTAACTAGACATGATTCGCACTCTGCTAAAACCGAAACAAGAACATCTAAACCCAGTGAGTGGACGGCTGAAGGAGAGGAGCACTAGATTCAAGCCACTTGGGGCAGCCAGCCACAGTGGAGGCCTCTGCCAGCCACAGTGGAGGCCTCTGCTCTCACCCTGGGCTGTCAAGAGGCAGATGGAAGCGGGCGGACACACAGCCGGAGCAGCGGTGTAGGTGAGCCATCTCTCCAGCCCGAGTGCCGCTTCTTACACCTGCTTTCTGTGTGACTCCAGATTCATAACCTAGCCTCTCCCAGTCAGCTGTGCCACCTACCTGGGGGTTGGTTAGTGGGCAGTCCTTCCTTCAGAGATGGAGATGCAGATGGGGGCAGAGCTCACTTCGGTCTGGGCCACCAATCACCAGCTGTAGTTCCTAGTCACCTGACTCGGTATAGTCTCAGCACCCAGCAGAGGCAGAAAGGGCTGCTTTTCCCTACCCTACCCAACCTCAGGACCCACCTCCCCCACCCTCGTTTCTCCTACAGTGACCTCCTGGACTCCAGTTGGAGGGTGTGTTGCTTAGCAGAGAAAGCATCTCTCCAGCCTGGCTTCCTCCCAGTTGCTGGGAGAGCCGTGCCCTCTTGGCTTCGCAGCCCGCTCACTTAGAGAGCCGGTCACTCAGTGTTTGGATAGTGTTTAATCATTAGGAGGTGGAGGGTCTAATACCGGGGGCCCAGGGCATCTGCAAATAAGTCAGCTATTTGCCTCTGTCCATCAAGGTCTGTTTTCGGAAGGCTTCTCTCCTGAGACACAGAGCTGACCTCTGACATAGTGGGCTCCCAGATCCTGGGGGAGCTTATTCTCCAAGGACACAGAGGTGAGGTGTGGGGAGAACACGAGTCCTGTGAGATAAACTGTCGCCATCCAAGATGGGATTGCCTCTTCCCAGCGCGGAACTCCCATCCTGGGATCGTGTCTTTTCCTCCAGCCCTCCCCACTCAATCTGAACCGCTTCACCTCCCCTGACTGGTTTTGCAAGGTCTGACCCAGCTTTTGCTGCAAGCAACACTCCATGCCCCTTGTCCTGCCACTTGGATCTGGAAATGTGACTGGCCTGAGTACCAGTCCCTTCTCTTGGCAGCTCCCAGAGCTGTTACCAGGCAGAGGGTGTTGGTATCCCAGAAGCCCTCTCCAGTTCACCCTCCATGTCTCCACACCCCCAGCACAGTACCTCACATGCAGGGTGATCCCTACTGTTTGCAAGTCCTCATGAGGTGGGGGTGCGGACTGGATAGCTCACGTTGAAGTTTAACCCCAGCTTGAGAGAATTTGCAGGTAGCAGCTGGCTTTGGGATGTGAGGGCAGAGCCCTTAGAAAGTGGGATTAGCAGCCTTTCAAAAGGCTCTAAATTCCTTTGCACTGTTCCTACTAGAGAGGATGGAAGGAGGGGGGCCCTTGCCAGAACCTCTCATGCTGGTTCCGGCCTGGGCCTTCTGACTTATGGAGCTGTGAGAGCAAATGTCTGGTGTTTCTAAGTCTGTAGACTTAAACATGCAGGGCTCAGGACAGGTGGCCCAGCCCCAGCCCCAGGTCACCTTAGCCAGCCTGCTATGTGTCAGAGCCTGTATTATTAGGTTCTGGGAACCCAATGACAAGTAAAATACTCTTGGTCTTTAAGTCTAGCATTACAAAAAAAAAAAAAAAAAAAAAAAAAAAAAAAAAAAAAAAAAAAAAAAAAAAAAAGGAAACAATTCAAGATTAGGTTAGAAGTTAGAATAAAGGACCAGGACCACACAGGCTCCTTTGTATGCATCAAGGGAGGGAGCGGATGACGGGATTCTGAAGGGATGCTCATGCTAGCCTGGCCCAGAGGAAGGGCTGGAGCAAGAGGAAACACCATGACAGGGTTGCAGCCCGCAAAGCCATCAGAGGTGCTTGGTACCCCAGGTTGAGAAGTGGAGAGGACACTGGAGAGGCGGCAGGGCCAGGCAGGGAGGCCTTTTATGCCATCTGTGACATGGAGCCCCAAAGGCTTTTTAATGGGCCAGATCTTCATCTGAGGGTCACAGACCATGCTGGGGTACCGGGAGTGTAGCAGGGCTGGCACACAGGTCAGTGACTAAGGGCAGCCAAGGACCAACAGCCATGGGCCAGCTTTGTGAAGGGACTCCAACCCCAACACAAAAGGCTGATTTGGGGGACACCAGAGAGGCCAAGTCATTAACACGATAAGTGCTGCTTGTTCGGGAAGGGCTCCCTCCCAGATTCCTGTAGGGGACATTCAGGATGGGTCTGCCCTCAGCAGCTCCTCGGCTTGCAGACTCTGCTTACCACCCTTTTATTCCAGATCATTAAGACTTCGGCCCTCTGGAGGCTTCCTGGGGGCCTTTGTTTAAAACGAGAAGCCAACCACATTTAATTGCTTCGGCCAGACACCCTGCCTCCCTCCCCCAACCCCTCCCAAGGCAGCTTCGTCCTCAGCCTGTCTCGAAACATAATCAGGGCCTGTTCGGAGGCCCTCCTCAAATTATGGTTCTGATCTTTTGCTCCAAAGAGAGCTGGAATTATAGCTTGGCACAGAGAGAAGTTCAAGTCTACAGGGTCATAAACCCTTTCATGTTCTGTTTCAAGACCTCTGCTGGGGATTTTAGCAGGTTTGCACCTCAGATGTTGCCCTGGGCGGGGATGGGGGTGGGGGAGTTAGAGCGGACCTCCTGTGAGGCGGTGCACATCAGCTTTGGCTCCTTCCCCCGCTGGGGGTCCCAGGCCTTCAGGTTTCTGTTTCTACTCCCCCCCCCCCGCCAGACTTTGACAAGGACAAGAGCAGCCGGTGGGCAAGAGCTGACTGAGACTCCCCCAAAGAGAACCGTAGTTCAGGGAACACCGTGGCCACGCTGCTGGGCGCAGGGTTGACAGGGACCATTTTATAACCTGGCTTTCTGATGCAGTCACTTCAGTTTCTGGTACCCTTCTGTTCTCATTCGTGAATCCAACAAGATTCTAACTCATTGCCAAATGGCACTGGCTGCCATGCATTCTAATCTATCCCTGAATGGCACTGGCTGCCAGGCTTTCTAATCCATCACCCGATGGCAGTGACTGCCAGGCTCTCTAATCCATTACCAAATGGCACTGGGAAGCAGGCATTCTAATCGATCGCCAAAAGGCACTGACTGCTAAGGATGGAGGGCATTCACTAGCCTTGCACTGGCGTGGTCTCACACCCATTACCTTTGCAGCTTCCCAGTGAGGAAAACACACACACACTTGAACTCACCTGGCCTCCAGACGTAGCTGGAAGCCTGTTGGGAGCCATTGCAAAGGGTGGAGAACGCACAACTCAAAGTCTAGAGTAGGACACGGGTCACGAACTGAAACGATTTTTCTAAAAATGGTAGTAAATTGTGTCTGTGGTCGCTCAGTCTCCCAAGAGGAACTTCCTAGACATCCATGTACTGAAGGTGAAGGTCCCGGCTGCAGGAGGAGTACCTGAGGTCTGAGGGGATGGCACACCACAAGCTGTAGTCCTGGCCACTGGAGTGGTTCACATCTGGGGGGATGACCTATTCTGTGGGCCACAGCTCAGCCCTGCTGCTTTCACTGTTCCGTTCTAGGGGCTTGGTGCCTGCATCACGCTGGTTATTTAAATGTTCCGCACATCAGTCTCGCACCACAGTGCGCCTGTTCTTTGATGGTTTGAATGAGACTTGTCCCCCATAGTCTTGGGCATGTGAACACTGGGTCTCCTGTTGCTGGTGCTATTTGGGGAGGTTTAGAAGGTGTGGGCTTTGTTTAAGGAAGTAAGTCACTAGGGCTGTGCTTTGAGAGTGTAAAGACCCCATGCGGCTGGCTGCCTCCAGCTCATTGTCTCTGCTTTGTGATTGCAGTTCAAAACACGAGGCCTCAGCCTCCTCTTCCTGCCTCCGTGCCTGCTGCTTCCTGCCCTGGCTCCCCACTACAACACCCCTGGAACCAGAAATGCAGATAAACTCTTCCTTCCCTTAGATGCTTCTGGTCATGTGGTTTATCACAGCACCTAATACATGCGCAGCCATCATTCACCCATCCTTCCATTTATTCATTTGATGGAGGAATGTCATCCATCAAATGAATGCTGTGAATATGTGTTGCTCTGATAGGTTTATAAATAAAGCCATTTGGCCTATGGCAAGGCAGCTTAGAGGCAGGTGGGAAATTCAAAGAGAGAGACAGGAAAAAGGTGGAGGGAGACACCAGCAAGCCGCCCAAGGAGCAACATGTAATGGGATGCAGGTAAAGCCACAGAACATGTGGCGATACATAGATTAATAGTTATGAGCTAATTTAAGATGTAAGCGCCAGCTAGCAAAAAGCTTGAGCCATGGCCATACAGTTATAATTAATATAAGCCTCTGTGTGTTTACTTGGGGGATGCGAGTGGGAGAGATTTATCCCAATCACCAGCAGGCTGGGACACAGGAAATCTTCTGACTCATTTATTCTTTATGGTCTAAATAAAAGGAGCAAACCCTCTAAAAGGGGCACTGTCCTAGGAGAGGGGATTGGCCCACAAATTCACCTGGTTTTGTTTTACTGATGCTTACACTAGCGGGTAAGACGATACGCATGAAAACAAGGGGTGTGGCCAGGCGTAGTGAGACTATGATGCTAGCACGCAAGAGGCCGAGACAGGAGTCCCTCCATGTGGGATGAGCTCTTTCCAGAAACCACTTTGTCAACTCAGTCTTCAAGAACCCTGGCTTGGCCAGGCAGTAGTGGCACATGCTTGTACTCTCAGTACTCTCAGAGGTAGGTGGATCTCTGAGTTCGAGGCCAGCCTGGTCTACAGAGCGAGATCCAGGACAGGCTCCAAAGCTACACAGAGAAACTCTGTCTCGAAAAACAACATCACCAACAAAAGAACACTGGCTTGCAGAAGCCAGGAGGCATTAAAAGCCACAGGTCTGGTAGCAGGTAAAGAAATAGGGTCCAGAGAGAGGAGGCATCTGTTAAAGACATTTGGTGGCAGCAAGCCAGGGTTAGAGCCAAACCTCTTGGTCCCTGGTGCACTTACTGTGTGGACTGTACCAAAACTACCATCAAAAAGATAGGCTGTGCTTTTCACCTGACTTTCTCAGAGTTCATGATCTCCGGGGCTACGCACAGAGTCCAGTTTTCTCCCCAGAGGCCAAGGATGGATAGTTGTTATCCAACTTCTTCATTGGCAAAGTGGACAGCCCAGCACCAATGACCCAGGGCACATGGAGTCTTACCACCAGAAGCTCCCACATGATGTGAACAGATCAGAGAGGCAGTCTTGAGAAAATGCATCGATGCACCAAGTAACCTTGGATCAAGCTGTCTGGGTGGCACAGCTGAGCAGCAGACCAAGACAGACGTCACACGGAAACCAGGTATACTTCTGCAGTGGCCAGCACAAGGGTCACTTCAGACACCAGGCTAGTTACAACCAGAGCTATCCTGTCAGTAACAGGCAGCGTGGCTGGGCTGCTGTTTATTTATTATTATATTACCATTATTATTATTATTATGGTTTTGTTGTTGTTTGCTTTTCAAGATAAGGTTTCTCTGTGTAGCCCTGGCTGTCCTGGAACTCGTTTTGTAGACCAGGCTGGTCTCAAACTCACAGATCTGCCTGCCTCTGCCTCCCGAATGCTGGGATTAAAAGTGTGAGCCACCACTGCCCAGTCTGGACTGTTTTTTAAAGTGACAGAAGGGAGCCAAGTGTAGTGATATGTGCTTGCAATCCCAGAACCTGAGAGGTAGAGGCAGGAGGGTCATGAGTTCAAGGATATCCTTAGCTATAAAGTGGGTTCCAGGCCAGCACAGGCTAGGTGAGACCCTGTGTCAAAGAAAAAATATGCATATAAACATATATGCACAGACACAACAAAGGGTATTAAAAAGCAAAGAGAAATCCCACGTGTACAGGACAATAAGTAGGCCTACTTGATACTTCGGTAGAGATTCTTTCTTTTTTTCTTTCTTCTTTCTTTCTTTCTTTCTTTCTTTCTTTCTTTCTTTCTTTCTTTCTTTCTTTCTTTCTTTCTTCCTTCCTTCCTTCCTTCCTTCCTTCCTTCCTTCCTTCCTTCCTTCTCTCTCTCTCTCTCTCCTTCCTTCCTTTTTTTAAAATTTATTTTAACTTTATTTTATATGCATTGGTGTAAAGGTGTCAGATCCTGGAGATCTGAACTTATAGACCATTGTGAGCTGCCATGTGGGTGCTGGGAACTGAACCCAGATCCTCTGGAAGAGCATCCAGTGCTCTCAACTATTGAGCCATCTCTCCAACCCCCCTTGGGTAAAGTTTCTAAAGAATATTTTATTTTTCTCTGTGTATGTGTGTGTACATTTATATGCATGCACATTTGTGTGAGTTTCCGCACATGTGTGCCAAGGCCCCTGGATGGAGATCAGGGGCAGCTTCATGTGTTTGGTCTCGCCTTCCCTGTCTCCCTCATTTGAGACAGGGTGTCTTGAATGCTACGGCATATGCCAAGCTAGGTGGGTAAGTGACAAGCTTCCAGGATTCTCTATCTCATACTGGGACTTCAGATGTGCCTGGATTTACTGAGTTCCACATCTCTAGACCCAGGTCCTCATGCTTCTTTGTATTCTACCCACTCAGTGAACCACCTCCCCATGCCAACTAACAGATCTTTCTTTATAATTTAGAGTATGACATGTGTGTGCGTGTGTGTGGGGGGGGGTTGGCTAGTTTTATGTCGACTTGGCACAAGCTAGAGTCATCAGAGAGGAGGGAGCCCCAATTGAGAAAATGCCTCCATAAGATCCAGCTGCAGGCAAGCCTATGGGGCATTTTCTTAATTAGTGATTGATGGATGTAGGTAGTACCATCCCTGGGCTGTTGGTCCTGTGTTCTATAAGAAAGCAGGTTGAGCAAGCCATGTGGAACAAGCCAGTAAACAACACCCCTCCATGGTATCTGCATCAGTTCCTGCCTTCAGGTCCCTGTTTGTGTTCCTGTCCTGACTTCCTCCCATGATGAACAGTGATGTGGACCTGTGAGCCAAACAATCTCTTCCCCCCCTCCCCCCCCCGCCCAACTTGCTTTTGTCATGGAGTTTCGTCAAAGCAGCGGTAACCCTAACCAAGACAGAGTGTAGGCTCACCTCAGTGAGTGTCTGGAGGCCAGAGAACAACTTTGTGGAGGCATTTTTCCTCCTCCCACTTTTGTAAGGGTTCCAGGGATCAGACTCAGGGCTGTGGGACACAGCAAGAACTCTTAGGCATCGAGCCATCTTGCTGACCCTGAGAATCTTTGTAACCACCATTTGCCAGAAAAACAAAACCAGCAAACTTCCTGGCACCCGTTAGAATAACGTGTCCCCATAGTAGAACCACGGTGCACAGGTGGTCACACGTCTTTCTAGCGCTTGGCTTGACTATAAACTTCTTGCACAAGGACTGTGTCCTGCTCATCTTTAGACTCCAAGGTGCATAGTAAGTGTTCAGTAAATGTCAAGTCACCAGCTCTTCTATGCTGCCCTACTGCTGACACACAGCTGATACACAGTATGGGGCAGCTACCATCTTCCTCGTCTACCTGAGGACTTTCCTCCACAGAAGGGAACCACGAAGCTCCTGGAGGACACGTGGTCACCCTGCAACTAATACACAGTAAATAGGCAATGCACTGGGTTCTCGCAGGGTTGCATCCATGATGGGAGGTGTGGGGGTACCAAGTCCATGTTTCCCCATGGAGTGAGGCAGTGTAAGTCAATGTGTCTGCAGCTCTCCTGGCGCACCTACGGTGGTACTGTGCTTTCCTTCACACGAAATGTAAGTGGGGCCGAATGACTTCCTTCGGTCAACATGGTTATTCTGAGGCTTTCAGAGATGTGTGGCTCACCACACTTGCCATCTCTTCACCATGGGATTATTAATTCTCAATCTGAACAATGGTCCCTCTGGCACTCTGGTCTCCAACCTTCTACAGTGACCAGATGATAAGGGTGAGAAGTTTTTTTTTTTTTTTAAGAATTATTTATTTATTTATTATCTATACAGAAGAGGGCACCAGATCTCATTACAGGTGGTTGTGAGCCACCATGTGGGTGCTGGGAATTGAACTCAGGACCTCTGGAAGAGCAGTCGGTGCTCTTACCCTCTGAGCCATCTCTCCAGCCCTAAGGGTGAGAAGTTTTAGAGTTGCTTGTTATACAGCATAACCTAACTTATCCTAACTGATCCTTTGGTTCATCACATGTGGTTATTTTCTGCTGCGGGACATACTCTGGCTGGGTTTCAGGGCTTAGGCTTCGGGGTGCTGGGGGATTGAAAGCAGAGGAAGTTTCCCAATTTCTGCCCTTTCTCTTGGGTCCCTCGTTCCAGTTTTCACCATGGTTTGACATCTTTATATCCCAACTTTAGGTGCACAACTTATCTTTAAAAATTACTTTTATGTGTGTGAGCATTTGCCTGCATGTATGTCTGTGCAGTGTGTTCATGCCCAGTGTCCTTGGAGGCCAGAAAAAGACATCAGATCCCCGGAACAGGATTACCGATGGTCGTTAGCCACCATGTGGGTGCTAGGAACTGAAGGTCCTCTGGAAGAGCAGCCAGGGCTCTTAACTGCTGAGTCGGCTCTCCAGCTCCCATGTAATTTCTCTTTCAACAACTCTTGGAAGGGCACCGCTCACAGAAAAGTGTCTCTGGGGGTCATGGCTAGGTTCTCCAGCCCCCACCCAGCCGCGTCGGGGGTGGAGTGTCGCACTGGGCCAGCACACCTCTTGCCCTGTCTCTCTAAGTGGGAACACGGCAGGCAGCGGGTGAGAGGCAGTGCTCCAGGCTTGGCAGGCTGTAGGTTCCCAGGCCTTTACAACCCTCTGGAGAATTCCTCTGCAGCTTAAGGTGCAGATGGTCTGCTTCCTGTCATCACCGCCCCCTGTTCAACCCAGGTGGCCTCTGCCCACAGAAGCAGCCTCTCCTTAAAAAGGAAGCCAGTGGCAGGGGCAGACTGGGGCCCTCCAGGAAGGCCAAT